TCCAGTGGACCTTACAAATGTCAAAGTGTTTGCTCTTTAGACTACTTTGTCAATATTTACTCAGCATAAGCTACACGGACACCCAACAGGGATCCTGTCTTTTTTTCCCCCTCAAGTAATGCAACTGGTGATGTAAATCTAAGATACTCTTCTTGAATAGGATAGTTGGGAACTGACAGTAAACATTTATTTTTCCATGGTGCTTCTGTAATTCTATTCTACATGTACTGTGTCTACCTAAGTTTTTCCTTTAAGCAAGAAAACTACGGAAACATTAAGAGAGGAAACATTAACTAATCACGATGATCTACTTCTATGTAAGGCATTAATTAGCAGGAAAGAAAAATCAGAACATAACTGTATTAACCAAAATTTAAAATCTCTCATGAAGACAGTTATAAATGTTGACAAAAGTGCATTTTCAGTAGACTCTATGGTTGATGACACTTTTGACCCTCTCTGTAACACATCTGGAAAGTGTAGGATATTTGTATCTTAACCACATTGAGCAATCTATAACTTGTTTATTCAGGCAACAGTGCAGGGAAGATACCAGTTTACTCCCCAAAAGGATCTACTTTAACCAATAGACTGAAAAATGTAGAACACTACAATAGGTATCACATACACGGTATTAAACCTTGCAAACTTCTTCCAGGGAAAATATGTTTAAATGTTATCAGAAAACCACAAGAGACAAAACAACTGCTAAAGTGACAATGAAATCAGGCTTTTAGTTTCACATGGAGTATTTCCTCGTTCAGTTAGGTAATGCAAAATATTCACTACTGTTCTTTCACATGGATGAATGGTAGTGAATCTTCCTCCAAGCATGTAAAGTTATAATCTGATCCTCGGCGTAGAACTTAAACCTTCAGAAGCACAAACACAGCACGTAAGAGCCACATATAATAATGACTAAGTATTTTGGTTCAGCTAATTTCCGTGCAGAAAATTCATGCTGCAAGGGTCCTATTTTTAACATTTGGGAGAACAGACTATGAAAGGATTAGGTTAAAAAACTTTAGCATAAAATGCTTTGAAGATGCTGATATGAAGATCAGACTAACAATAAGTACACATAGTCTAATGAAACAGAGCTGGGCTGTTTTGCTCTATTTTATGCTTTCTTACAGCATTTTGAAAAAATATTATTATATTTTGTACATTAAAGGCATGATGGCAATTTGTAGTAAGGTTCAGCATCCATCCTGCAAGTGCTTGCAACAAAACCACTACACAGAGTCTAAAAAGGTGGATTTTCAGAACTTTAGCAAGGGAGACCAAAGCAGTTCAAATTACTCTCTAAACCTGAAAAATTTTATAGAACTATTGATAACGTGCAAACAGCTATTGAGTGTCTCTTTCTCACCCACACCACAACCCAGTAAGGAAGGATGGAGGGAAGGAATGACAGCATAAAACCTATGTTTTGGAAGCAAATGTACCTTTTTTCATTTCCACCTTGTGGAAACAGGTTTTCTTTTACAACTCCTGTTCCTTTGCCTGTGCTCTGAAACTGAAGAACAATCCCCTTTCGACAAAGTAAAAAAGGCCCAAGGTTATTGCCACACTGCCTGCATTAGAAAGACCTCACTCACACCAAAGCACTGCAGGTGTACCTGCCTTTTCCTCCTTCTGTCTCCTGAGCACTGTGTGCCACCCATTCCCACCACCACATCACCTACCAAAGCCCTGGGCTCTGTCCCTGCTCACCATGGAAAGCTCTCCTGGGTCCCAGTGCTCACCACCACGAACAGGGGGCACAGAACCAAGCCCCTAATTAGTGTGTTATTCTTTACATTTTTATTTCTCTTACTGCTAAGTCTTATGAATTTTGTTTGAACTGAAACACTTGTCACATTCACAGCTTTTTTAGAAAGTGACTTTTACATTAGGGAAAACCTCCAGCATGCAGCTCATTTAAATGTAAATCTATTTACCTTTCATGCTTTCTTTGCCCTTTTCACCAACTATCAAGCATATTTGCGTGTTAACCAGGAGCTGCCTCCTCTATAGCTGTTCTCCTTCCTGAGCTCAAGTTGTGAAGCCAACTTGTGACATCAGTCTTTGATCCAGAAATGCAGGAAATGAGGCACAAACGACACTGTGGAATTTAACCCAGCAATCTGCAATTTGGAGAAAGTGACAGTTTGCACCACTCCTTCTGCTCTCTCCCCTGCACAGAGGAGAGCAGGGATGAAACCTGGTCTAGGGAAAGGTGTCCCTGCTCATAGCAAAGGGGTTGGAACTATGTGATCTTTAAGGTGCCTTCCAGCCCAGGCCATTATATGATTCCGTGATTCCTCAGCCAAAGATTTATGCAAGAGATGAAGATGTTGAAGAAAATAGCCTGTCATAGAATCCTAGAATCACAGAATCAAACTGGTTGGAAGAGACCTCCAAGATCACCAAGTCCAACCCTCCCGTGGTCACTAGCCCATGGCACTAAGTGCCACATCCAGTCTCAGCTTGAAAACCTCCAGGGATGGGGAATCCACCACCTCCCTGGGCAGCACATTCCAATGCCTGAGCACTCTCTCTGGAAAAAATCTCTTCCTAATCTCCAACCTAACCCTCCCGTGGCAGAGCTTGAGTCTGTGCCCTCTTGTCCTACTGAAAATGCCATCCTATACTGGAGTGTGTGCCAGTAGCTTCTAATTCCTTATTTGAAGGGCTAGGCTCCTAATCACCTGCCTCCATGGCAATTTAAGGCAACCCAACAGGTCCTGGACCAGCCTGAGATGGCACACTCAGGGTGCACTCACAGCTTCTGCAATGCCACTACAGGCAGCTTGATGCTGACTGACATGTTTCCTCCTCAGAAAACCCAACTAAATTGTTCCCAGCATGTGGGACAGAAGAGCAGAGAGGCTTAAAGCCAAATTTCAGTCCCGTGCCAGCAGGGAGTACAGGATTCAGTGCAGGTCCCCATGGAAAGGATCCCATCTGCAGCCAAGGGAATCTCTGATCCCTCCCAGCCCTCCCAGCCCTTGCTCAGGGGCAAAGAATGCTCTATATTCTGAGCACAGAAGAAGGTAACAGCATTCCTACATGAGATAGAAGGACAAGGAGGCCTATAGCATAGAAATTTCCTATTTGGTTAAGTACCTAGAGGAAGAGCAAAGAGATTATGAAAACAGAGAATAAAATCAGGAGGAGATGGTGGAAAGGTTCTCCACTGAGATTCACTGCCTGGTGGAGAGACTGTCTTTAAGAAGCACTGTCTCCAGCCCATCCTTACACAGCCATTTCCCTCTTATTTAAGGAAAAAGCAAGAAAACAAAACAAAAAAAGAAGACAAGAAGACTCGTAGTTTGATATATTTCAAGTGTAGAGTAAATGCTTGAACAGCAGGACATCTGTAAATCTGTTCTTCAATGCCTCAACAGCAAAGTCTGAGGGGAAAAAACAACTTTAAAGGCAATTCTAATGGCAGAAGAAGTTAATAAGAGTGGAAATGAAAGAAATTAGGTTGTTCTGGGTTTTGTTTTTCCAGAGTAAAAGAAGCAAAAAAAGAAAAATAAAAAAAAAAATCACAGTTCTCAAAAAAGTGTTTAGCTTACATTTCTCAGGGCACCATAACCCACAGGAAAGTGCCTGTAAGTTTAGCAATGGTGTCACTGCGACATAAGATTTGACAAATTCTGGAAAGCCATTGCCTGGTGTGGCCCTCAGTTTCCAGAGAAGATGAGGATATCAAATGTTCAGAAATGTATTGCAGGTGCAGCCACAGAGAGGTTGAGAACAGACGGTTCCCTCATTAATATTTGTTAGAATTATTAACTAAAGTGCTAGGTAATAATGAAATTAGCACATTTTATATCAATACCTAAGAGTAAGCTGTGGTATAATGCAATTCATTTCCACACAAGAGGGAATTACCTTCATAACTGAGCTATGGATCATTTCTTTGCCAGTAGAAATAAATTGTGATCCATCACTGCCCAAAATGATCTACGTATTGTATAGACACTAATAAACTCATATACCTGGCTCTACACACACACCAGAGATCTGCTGTACAAGAGCAGAGAAATATCACTAATCCACCGTGTTTCTGGAGGCAGAGGAAGTCCCAGTGCAGCCTATTGATGTCCTGGGCCCTGCATTGTCCACCAGCACCACAACTCCCAACTCCAGCCTCGACAGCCAGAGCTCCTCTGCAACAGAACCAGGAAAAACACTGTGTGGTTTGCATCCCCTCCATGGCAACATCCAACCAGTACCATGGTTGGACACACCTCCAGGAGT